GGCTTGCCTCTTAATCATTACAAAGCTCACCTAAGACCTTACCTTCCTTAGAGCTGTATCTCCTGCAATAACTCAGTGCTGGGTCCTAGGAATGGCTTGATACAGATGTTCTGAATAAATAAATGCAATCATGGTCTGATGTAGAGATAAAGTTTGCTCTAACCATCTGACTTTGGTTCTGCCTCTCAATTTCAATTTTTCACGTTCTCTCTCTCAATTTCATTGTCTACACATGGGCACATTTTATTAAGTGATAATCAATTTGTTTCAGAACTATTATATAAAATTCTATGATCTTTTCATTATCATCATTATTATTATTGTTATCATCATTGTGGATTGCAGGTAATTCTTGAACATCTACTGTGACAAGAATATCCTGTTGGTTATTCTTTTCTGCCAAATTCTCTTTCTTCTGAAATGCATGAATGAAACCCACAAGCAAAAGAGCTTTAAATGGACCAATTATGTTCATGATGAATGATCTCTTCTTACTTCATTCTGGAAAGATAACTGCACATTTTAATTGGTCGCTTGGCACCAGAATAGCATAGGAAGGTCCTCTTTGCTTTTAGTAGCATATCCCAAAGGGATGTTCAGGCTTATATTTTCTCCCAGTATTATTACCATTGGAGAGAGGAGTCTTTGGGTGAGTAGAAGGCACTTTTTATTCTGAGGTAATGTGAGAAATTCTGGACTTGAGTTGGAATTCAAATGAAGTGGCAATTTATGTTCATGAAGTAAGTGTTGCATTTAATTTACCAGAGGAAAACGTTGGTAAATCACATTATGACAAAAGACAAAACAATTCTTAATATAATCAAACCATCATATAATTCTACTTTGTGAAACAGAATACAGGTTTTTCCCCCCATAATTATATTTGATGAAGGAAGCTGAATGTTTCCATGTGTCTTTTCTTTAGGCCTTATATTCTCTTTCAGTGAAACAAGCAATTAGATGTGTACTGGATGAATGTTTTTATTTTCATAAAAATCCTCTGTAGCTGGGTGTAGCCCACCATTGCCTCTTCTGTTATCTCTTAATAAACTTATTAGTCCTTAGAGTAGGTCAGCTTATAGAAAAATTAAAATGGGTCAATATTTTCATGATTTTTAAAATGTTTATTTTTCTATGTTAGGCAGTGCATGGGATAGGAACTCCTTAACAGGAGTGCAATTATTGATCTCCTAGAGACATAATTACATCTTTGAGATCATACTATACATTTATAAATAATATGTAACTCAGGAAGTATCTGATCAACATATCAAAGTGAATACTAGGGATGGCAGGAACACTAAGCCCGGAGAGGACTGAGAGGTCACTAAGAGATCAAGTCTTTCTGGGTGACTACTTCCAGAGGCACCTACCTCTTAAAGAGGCCTCGTGAGTGAAGGGAGATGTATAAATATGGGGAAGAGAGATGTTTTGTGGGGAGAGGGTGTGTCTGTCGAATCTAACAAGGCCTTATGTCTATGAATTAATGGCAGGTAAATGGAGCTTTAAAAAACTCTCTTTTGTGTCTACATATGTAATAAAAACTATTCAATATATTATGTCTTAAATTGCACCCATTCTCTTTACAAGGAAACTTGGGAGAAATGATTTCAAAGTTCGTATCAAGAATGGTAATGTGTTGCTCAATCTTTTGGATGGTAGC